AAGTAACTAACTTTATATGAATGATCCTTGGGTGGTCATGTTTCAAAGTTGTTAAAATGATTCCGGTATGTTGCCTAAGTAGGTTACATGGCCAGAAAAGTAGTTTCAAAACGGCAGATCTAAAAAACTATTTACAAGATCAAGAGCTTTGATATTTGGTCTATGACATCACCTGTAAGTCCTATAGAACAGTTGTTCAGATTGTGCCCCTAGTGTGCCCCGGGATCATAGGTTTTCCATATATGTACATAGTTACTGTAAAATCTTTTGAAAAATCTTCTCTTAATTGACAAGGACTAGAGAGTTTTATATTTGACATGAAATATTGTGCAGAGGACATCTACTAAATTTGTTCCAAATTATATATTAAAAGTGTCCGCCCTGGGGATCAGTGATTTTCATTATGATAATAAGCGTAAAGTTACAATTAAAAAAAAATGTTCACTGTCTGAAGGTACAATGTTTAGTTGTTTGATTTATATTGTCATCTAAAGGTCCTCTACCAAAGTTGTTCAAACTTTCCCAAAGTGTCAAATTGGCCCCATCCCGGGTGTCATAGGGTTTCCCTATATTAATTGGTACAATCTTAAAAATCTAAAATTTCACAGGCTAGAGATTAGACATTTGGCATTTAATTAAAGAATATGTTTTGGACCTATACCAAGATGCAAAACAATCAGAGCCCTTGGGTCCTTAGCGATGCCCAGGAGGCCATTGATTTTCATAAGGTAAATTTAGTAAAAACGTTCAATATTCTCGTGTCAAAGTGAAATGACCAGAGATTTGATATTTGGAACATGATATCGTATGTTTGCCCTTTACCAAATAAGTTCAAATTTTGCTTCTGGTGTCAAAATTACCCGGACCCGGGGGTCATAGGTTTGTCTGTTATGTATAATGTGAAAGCTTAAAAAATTGACTAAGTCTTTCCCCTACTTCGCATCAGGAAATTATACATGCATTTAACAACACTTCCCGCTACCTAGATGATATTTTTAACATGAATAATCCTTATTTCGATCAATTGGTTTCTAAAATATATCCCAGTGAACTTAAATTGAATAAAACTAACTCTTCAGACGTTATTACATCTTTTTTAGATTTAAACATTTCTATCATTAACAATACTATTATAGTAACTAATAGATAAAAGAGATGATTTTGATTTTAATATTGTTAATTACCCACATTTAGATGGAGATGTACCTCATCATATGGGGTGTGTATTTCTCAATTAATTAGATTTGCTAGGGCGTGCAGTCGTGTTGATGTTTTGAATAAACGCAATTTATTTATTACTAACAAACTTCTTAAACAAGGTTATCGCTATCATAAATTGCGTAAATATTTTACTAAGTTTTACCATCGTAATTCAGACTTAGTTTTAAAATTTAATTGTAATTTAAAATCCTTTTTACGACAAGGTATTAGCAAACCTGACTTCTTTGGAGATGTGGTTTACAAACTTCGTAGGATCATGGGTCATAGTAATTTTTCACTTCACTAAAATTATCAAACGGTTTATTAAAAGAGGCTATGACCCAATTACTGTAAGACATACCGCATTCTTTCTTCTTTTCATTACATCTGACGGACCAAGTGGGAGACTCTATGATGGACAGTTAATAAAGCCCTTTAAGACTGAATTGTCTTAATGCTCCTCTTCTGTCTTGCTTTGTTAGGCCCTTGTAGGTGATTTTCTTGCTGCTCTGCCTTCCTTTAAGGCATCGAGTACTTAGGTAATGGTCATAAGGCTGTAACTTTTTCTACATTTTTACATAATTTTGTATGTTTTTTTATTTATTTTGTCTAATGTAACCATGACCATTGTTAGAATTTCACTTGGCGGGGATAAATTTTATATACAATTTCGTGTCATTCAGGAACATATTGGGGCTAAGAGTGAGGTTTGGCGCGCCTGAAACCGATTTAAACTCCCCAGTGGTTTAACTACCACTGACCGTTCCAAGGCGGTACCCCTCAGTGTTCCTTCACGTGTTTTCTTGTCTGTATTATATACTTGTTTTTGGATGTTTACATGTTTTGTGATGTCTGTCTTGTTGAATTGTCGTTGACGGTAGGTATTTTCTCTCCCCCCCTTCCATTTTACCCCCCCCCCCCACCTTTTCACCCGTACAGCCCTTTTCCCTTTAATTCCCGTATGGGTACGTTTTTGTTTATATTATTTCACATTACATGTCCCACTCCTTTCGCTCTTGTGCTTTCGCTCTTGTGTCCACTCCAGGTTTTTGTTTGGTGCCTTCTGGATGTCCTGCTTGGGTGTGTCCGGGAGCAGCGTCCTGTGAACGTTGCCTTTGCCTTGTTGATCTTTGTTCTTGTTATTTTACACATTTTAGGATGTTGCATCTGACCTAGACAATAACAAGTCACCTACTTCCTTGTCCTTTGATGTTCGGTCCATATGCACAGTTAAAGATGTAAACATTAACGTAAATATAAGTTTTTTTTGCAAGTGACCTACTGTCTTATCATTTGATGTATTAGTATACAATTTGGACCATTTGCACATTTTAGATGTAAAATTTCACTTTGCTATCAGCTGACCTAATTTGTATTACGTGATCTACTTTCTTGTCCTTCAATGTACATGTACGTAATTTGGAACATGTGCACACTGTTTGATTTAAAATTTAACGTTAATATCATCTAATTTTGATTTTTGTGTGTGTGTGTATGGCATTTTGACCATGTTCACAATTTGGGGAGAAGGAGGCTATTTAGCAAGCTAAGAGAACATCGATGGTTCTACTAAGCTGCCTGTCCGTGCTTCAAAGTATGCAAACAGGGCCACCTGATGTCTTCCTCTAACAGTGAAGCATGAAAGTCGTCATATGACATTTACTTTATTCGTGCTTTGTAAAACCCAACAAAAAACAAGAATAAGATTAAAATGCTAATATCTGGCTTCAAGAAATAACAAACAGAAACCATTGCTGAAGCTTGATGAAACATGCTTTATCATAGATATAGTTTTGTACGAGTTTGTAAAAGAACCTGAAAATACTTCCAAACACTGCAAGCGTTTCTTGCATAATGACGGATGCTGACAATGCATTTTGGTAAATTTGGAGCGGAAAATATCTCCAAAAATATGAGACGATATAGATTACATCCAGGTATGACCATACTTATGCGTACAATGAAAATATTGAACTATTTACAACTTTATGAAAAAAGTTTTTAGCGTTTTAAATTTACAAAGTTATTGACATTCTGAAAAAAGTTTTCGTTTAAAAGAGGGGACTTTTCATTTTTTACTTTAAGGGAAAAACAAATTAACAATCTAAAAGAGCATTCTTATAGAAACTACTTTCATATTCCTAAAGAGAAACAAATAATAACATTCACAAAACACAAAAAAAATCTGTTCAACACAAAATTGAAATTTGAAGTATGTATAGAATGTAACCCTAACCTATTAGTTTTACATACGTGTTTAACCACATTCCTGCTTAGACAATCTAATTCAAAATATCTCTAAATTCACTTTGAAATTTTTGCTATCATTGCCATTGTGATAGTCAAGGGGGGGGACCCAGGGGGGGGGGGAAAAAAAAGGGGGGGGGAAATTTGTTTTAAAAAAAATGTTTTTTTTTCCTTTTGGGGGGGGGGTTTTGGGGGCGGGAAAAAAATATGGGGACTTTTTTTTTTAATGTTTTGAATTCTTATAACAACAGTAAATACATTTTGTGTTAAATATATTTTAAGATGTACTTTTTTGTGTATTTTTTCTTAAATTTCTTATTAAAAATCAACTGAATTTAACAGTATGTGTGGCCGATTTAATTACCCATGAAAGTTAATGGTGCTCCAACTTAATCCAGATGATGAAAGATATATAAAATATGAAAAACAAGATCAACAAGGAAAGGCGGCGTTCAATGAACGCAACCCCCATATGACCCAGCAACAAGAACCAATGGCAAGGAGCCCAGGCGGACCGCAAACATAAAAAGGACAGGGCAACGACACGTTAATCATTAAATGATAAATAATTTGTAACTGAATAGGAATTCAAAGAAAATAATAATAGGGCCCACAAAGGGAAGGGGACAGAAGACCGGGGGAAGGGGGGGGGGGTTAATCAAAGAAAAAAAAACTAGAGGCAATGGGGAAGAGATAAAAATCCTTTTGTACCTCTTTGTTCAGATAATTATGTTAGTACATATTCATTTGTTCAAGATATTAAAAATGTCATTCCAAAGGATGTAGTATTTAAGTTTTGGTTTCTTTGGATTTGGTGCAGGCATTGGTTAAGTTTGTCTGCCTCCTGATCAAGACATTAAAACTGAAGGCTTTCTTATTACTCAAATGAAACACAAAGTGCAATCCTTTGCATTGATAACAAAATGAAATTACAAATAAGTTATCTACTTTCATATATCATGAAAACCTTGAACAACTTTGAAAGAAAACAAAACAGTTATTCACAAAATGGTGATAAATATATAGTTCTGTATAGTTTAATAGGCCAAAAAGTATGATAAATGTAAAAAAAAAATATAATGATTTTAAATATGTGTGACCATCACTATCAATTAAAATATCATAATAATTTTTTAATATCAGAATAACAATCATACATTTTTGGAAATGAAAACACTAGGCTTATGCAATATCACGTACAGAGGATGTTGTATAGAGTTGAGAGTTTGCAGTCGTCTGACAAATCTATATTTTGAATGCTTTATTGATAAGCAGACACATGGAAAGCTGAAAATAAGTAGATGTCCGGGAAATCGATAATTAAAATACAGTGTCAACTGATCCATTGAAAGCGATGAATATACAGACATTCGGCATTCTGAAAACATTCAATATTGATTCGATAGACAATTTAGAATACTTAGACATTTAACAAATACAGCAAAAAACAGATATTTGAAGTACTCTATCGATAGATCCATGAATAGTTCTGGATGGACAAACATTCGACAATGTGATGATATCTAATTACTCAAGATTTTTTAATGTATTCCTCAATCGATAAAGTCATCCCTTTTTCTGTCTTCAAAAATCAGATGTTTCTTGTGTTTCTGAAAAGAGAAAATAATAAAATTTCTGATTTTGATTTTTTACACCTAGTATATTTAGATATAATTTTATTGCGTTTTTATTTTGACCATTTTTACAAGAATTTAAGTATAACACCTCCTTAATGCCTCCAATTTTTTTTTTATTTCGCAATAGCTGTTTAATTTTTCTGTGTCATCTTACAGTTTCCAAAAGTTACTCGACGGCAAAACACCTGAAAAACCGTTCGCCTATGTTGCGTTTCTAGCAATTTTGTATGGAAATTAAAGTTTTTTATTACTCGTATTTACATTTTGCTACTTTAAAGCCAATAGTTTTATCTTCAAATCTATTATCTTCAGGTAATAAGCATCTGACATGTTGTTAAACATTAAAACATGTGCACGTTTTAAAACCCATGTTTTTCTTACCTAAAGAAGTATATTTTTATTCATTTCTGAGTTATAATGTGCCTATAATAATAAGTCATTTGCAGGCCGTTTGTTTGTTGTTGTTGTTGTTTTTTTTGTAAAAGATAAATGCCTTATCCTTCTAAATTATAATTATGGATTTACCCTGCTTCAAAGTTTACCGGAGTTTATTAATTAATTGAAGATTTATTATGCTCAAATTTGATTTGTGAAAAAAAAAATGGTTATAACTATACAGTCTCTTTTGAAATGTAAGATACACATATTTTTTGAAAACACACAGAGAAAAGATGTAGAAATTTAAACTCAATACACTACCGGATAATCACAGTACACTTACATAAGGTCGTTTTAAAAGCATAATTCATACATTCATTTATTCAATTTAGACATATTCAGGAAGAATTTACAAGAGCCTTTTTCTGAACTTCTGCAATATAAGTATTTTTACCCCAAGATGAGCATAGTATGTCTAAAATAAAAACAGAAGTACCAACAACATTGTGCCTGGCCTGATTACACAGATGTTAAGGGTGGCTTGGCTCTAAAATGGTGGAAAATGCTTGTAAGTATGGTTAAAAATATTAATAAAATGAACTGAAATGTACAATTAATCAAATAATTTTCTTAAAATGTATTTTATCAATGATGAAAAGTACTTTTAAGTATATTTTTGTGAAGCATTGTTAAAATATAATTGTTCTTTAATTAATAAAAAATGAAGTTATTACATTTCTCTTTCCTTCAGATACTCCGAAACTCTGCGACGACTGAAGCCACTTGTGTTTCTGTTTGGAAAATGCATCTTTTATCTGAAATTGAAAACAGTCGCGACATGATATATTGATGCTTATTTCTTAAACAAAGAGAGTAATCTATATAAGAGAATCTATTAAGCAAAATGTGTTGATTGTGATATCCAAATCACATTCACAAACTTTTTGGTTCTGGACAAACTTTTTAAAATTGTAATCGTATTCTTAATCTTAATCATACCTGTCTTAAACACTATATGTAAGTTTCTTTCTGTTATTAGAAAAAAATCAGAATTGGCTTTTAAAACTATTTCACTCCAGTGCGGGCATAAATGCGATCGGTTCGTTAGTGAAAATTTTGAAATTCATCGAGAGCAATGGAAATATATACAACGAGGATGATGTCAAAGGAATCTAGATTTGATTATCCAGAAAAATAGAAAACTATCGATAAAACAGGGAAATAATTTTATCTGCTAAAATAAGAAAATCTGTTAACGGACATAAATATGAAAAACAAGATCATCACGTAAGAACGGAGTTCAAGGTACGCAACCCCCATTTCACGATTCAGCATCACAGGACTACTGGCAAGGAGCCCAGCAGAACAACAAATAGAAACAGGACAGGTCACAAGGCGCAACGCTCGGAAAAAAATCCATTTTCCTGAAATCTATAATTGATTTCAACAGTTTTAATGGTTATAGAGGTACTGTGAAATTCATTGATTCTTTACACTTTCAAAATTAATAATAACCATACTATATAGATTAACTAAGACTAATAAATTTATCATGATGACACTTTTGGCAAATGAAAAAAGTTACCTTTTTGTCCATCACGCAGTGAAATATGAAGATCAGCAGTCCCTGTAAATTATATTAATTTTCATCAATACAAAAAAAGTACTTGAATAATGAAAATATTGATAATCAAAACAATTGTGTCATTGGTACATTATTAAAAAACAACACACCAAGATTAAGGAGTAAATACTGTTCCGAAAATAGTCCAAATGTTATTTTATTACACAGTTTACCAAACTTAGTTTCTGTATCAGTTTAACCAAATTATATTGCACTATTGTCTGGTCCGTTATAATTTAAGGTATACCAATCCTTTCAATGAACAAATGCTTTGCTGTGTTGTTTTCTACTTAAAAATACACAACTAACGCGGCTTTATATGGTGAGAAGGCTCAGCCACCAATTGTAAAACAATGGATACAAATTGCCTAATTTGGGTTCTAAATGGTAATACGCTAGAGTCTAGTGTTAACAAACGAATTGCAGTATGAGCATGGCAAAAAATGTAGTTCCTCATGTAAGAACTGGTTTATTATTGTTAAAGGAAAGTTTCTGACTTTTTATCTAGAAATGTTTGTTTTCATGTGTTTAAATGTACGCCTAGGAAAGGTTTTGTAAAGACTTTTGTTAAACGAATTAATGAATTTATCGATGTTTAACAAGGTAAACAAGTATGTCATGTTCGGATGGAAAGAAGAACTTACAGTGCCTTTAAATTAGTTTATTTCATGAAGCTTGTTGTCATATGATAAAACTACCAAAATAGAAGAGACAGAGATACATAATTATGTAGTGTTATTCATGAGAATATGATGTATAAAGTAGGGCTATCATGGCTAAAAAAATTGAATATTTTAGAGATAATTCTTAACTTTAAGTTTTGTTTATAAGTAAGCAATTGATTAGAACATGTGCCAGAACCTTCTTCAAACTTTTAAATAGAAGAGAAACAAAACTATTTGTATAAATAACTAAATGATTTTTACTCCACTTTTAACGTAACAAATTTGTGAATGTCTCAAATGCCTTATGGTTGTTAATAATATATGTATTGTGTAACAGTATTTGGTAATTCTTATACAAAAATGACTATACTTATAATATTATGTTTTATGTACAAATGTATTTGAAACCACGGAAATGTGAAAATTAAAGGGACATTAATCTGCAGTACATATACACATTAAGTTGCTGTAATATGTGGATTTGTTCCCCTTAAAAGCCTTTTAAAGGTCTCTTATACTCTATATCATGTCTTGTTTTTGTTTGTTTGTCTTTTGTTTATGTTAATATAAACATGTGAAATTATTAATATTTATAGATATATTCGATCACACAACATTATTAATAGCTACTGTAACGTAGAGGGGAAATAATTATCATAGTAAAAGGTTTGTTTATTTGGAGCTTATACATTTCTCGAGTTCTGTATTTTGTTACGTCTTTTGGATGCGCTAGGATAATGTATCTATAGGGGTTCGCCGTGTGTGATCCGCGTTTTACAAATGCAAGAGATACATATATAAGAACCAGATCAAAGAGAGTCTTACAATAATTTATCTTTTTAAACTACAATTTTAATTGTAACCATGTGCCTTAAAGGAACTAAGGTCCAAAAGCCTAAAACATAAAATTTATTTTTACAACTATCAGCTGGGTCAAAACGAAATATATGCAAGCGATTATTAAGAACTATACTCGGGAATGAAATGAAAACCTATGTTTGTGTTATTCATTACCCGTTTAGGGTAAAAAGGAATGCATTTGAATGTTTGGTAATTTTTCACAATAAGAATAAATTTTATTGAAAAGCGGTGTTAATCAATGATCTCAAATTGTGTTGCAGTTTTGATGAAATTAGTACCATAAATAAATTGGTGGATACCTGGAAACTGTTGAGAAAAGCGAATAAGTACTGGAAAGCAATTGTGTCACTATTCAAAGACAATGCTCCAAACCCCCAGGTCAGACCCATCAGCGGCATGAGCACTAATATGCAACGTAATGCTGCTCTGAAATTGATATTGTTTTATATAAAGATCAGTAATCACATTTTTAAAGTACAAGATTTTCTTAAAGCACGTATGGGATGCGATTCTGTTTTTTTCTTTGCGGATCCGCTGGAATAGGAAATGATAACATAAGAAGACAGTTCTTTCCAATCCAAGAATTAAACAAAATGTTAATAGTAAAAATAATTCCTATTAAACTGATTTATAATATTCAATGTATTACTTGAATTCGTTAAAGTCAACTGTCTATTCATAAGTAAATCTTCGTGTGCATGAATTATTAATATCATGCTTTCATTGAAGTCTTTTGTTAATTGCTTCTAAAAACACACATGAACTATTCTATTGGCAAAACTGTAAAACTGAAAGATTATATTTACATTGAAATCACAAAAGATTTACTTGTGAATGTCAAACGGTATTTCATATTGTCTACACAAAGCTTTACAAATTTAGATTAACATTACACAAATAAAAGTCGAAATAATATGTACTGTTTACTTTATTTATTGTTTATTTTGTTATCATTTGATATATAAAATTTGTGGAATACTGATTACGTAGACAGTTTTCTAAAAAGTTTGATAAGCTTCCTACTCAATCCTGAAAATATGTATGTTCTTAAGTATTATGTAAATGTAAAGATTACAAATAAATATTGTTTAAAATATTCCAAAAATATGAAAAAATAAAAGTACATGTTAAAAGGCATTTTAAGAAAATAAGTTGCGCTTAAAGGAACTCAAATGAGGTTTAAAAACACAAAAACAAAGATAATTTAAAAAAAACAGAATTGAATTTAAAATCATATTTTTGTACTATTTTTAACCCGATTAGCATTGCAACACCTTTCAATTTTTGATGACTTTTTACAATTAAAATAATTGGTTCAGGAATGATCTGAAACTTTGCACACAAATTATTAGTCTAGACCTACATCAAATGGAACATTAAACTCTAAAACTTTTTTTTCAGTCCGTCACATGAATTTCGATAGAGTCACATTAAAGTTACAAAAAGTATTGAAAGTCAAAAAAAAACAACAATGAAACAACTGTCATACTTTGCCCGCCCTTTGCTGGATTTCTTTGACATTGCTGTAGTGCCGCACATGGTCCGAATCACTAAGACAACAATTATAAGATTAACCTGAAATTTGAATTGTTGAAAACAGCAACATGTTATCACTTTATTATTACATCAATTAATTAACTTTTTTCATCATTTTCATCAATTATCATTAAATAACTTTTCAGTTGTCTAATTTTAAAATTATTTAATAAACAAAACTGAAAAGCATATTTCTCTTTGCTACTGACTTTGAGGTTTCTTCAATCGTGATTGACTTTTATTTATAGTCGCAACGACAACTCGCACCAGGAGCCAATACGTTTTTGTCCTAGAGCATTTAATGGATCATCTTTAACGAGCTTAGTTGCACGGATCCTAGGTTTTATGAATTCCCACACGAATGATTTGTTAAAACAATCTTGAAGATTGAGTAGCGGGGAGTCGATTTCGCGACTTTAGATTTACCGCTAGATTGCTTCCCCGCTTTAAAAGCAGTAAAATAACTAGATGGCCTGTCAATTAGACTTGTCTTGTGATAAGGTATTTTATAACACTTATTAAAGGCTGTTCTTGATATGGCATATGCCTTTTCTTTTATTGATAACTTTCATATGATTTCACATGGTCATTAGATTTTTGTTCACAAAATCAAAGCATCTAACTAAAGAATGAAGAAAATTTCGTGCAAAGGCGTCATCCATTTCTTCCCTTTCTAAACTTAATAAAACACTTTTAATGTTACAATGATGTCATACTTGCGGAAAGCATCTCTATTACTTCTACTTTATGACTCTTATGATATCACAACTATAACGACATAAAGGTTTGTTGGTTAATTTTATATTGCCCTTAGAACCTTGAAACTAACAAAGCCATATCTTGCATATGCTTGTCACCCAGGCTCTTTATCTATTCCGTTCATGGCTCAATAAAGATTTTTATTAACGTATTAAAACCCTGTCAAATAACAATTTACAATATTTTATATAAAGCAGTGTACATCATTAGAAATTTAGCAGGATCGATATTAGGTTCTAGCTATTTAGCTAAAAAGATTTTAGAAAAATTATTTTTACCCAATAATAATTGTTGTTCTAATTCATCCATGCCGAACGGCGATAATTATATAAAGTAGTAACACATGGCCGTATCCTCTTAATTTATAAAAGAGCATAGTAACATTCGATATGAAAAAATATATTCATACGACATGCATGATATAAAAAATATTACTGTCATTATCACTTGATGAAACTAAAACTCAAGCAAGTGCAACATTATAAAGATGATTAAAATTCATGGCTGTCCAATAAAAAACGTTAAAAAATGTTCACAAATATAAGTTGTAATAATAAGGCACGCCAAAAACAAAAAAAGCGGGTGTTTTATTTTCAACAATTGGCTGAAAGCTGAAACTGGTTAACAGGTAAACAATTCAGTCATACATACCAGTGCAAACTAAAAGAACCGGAACGAGAAAAGCCCATATCAATCCAGTATCAGTCGATAACCAGCATCTGGAACATATATATTAATATCTTTTACATGGAAATATTGTTAATTTTAAGCTTTATAAAAGTATGTACAGTTGTAAGATGAATCAGCTAATTTCTGGTCGATATAAAATAAGTTCAGTTAATTAGCAGAAATACAGGAACTACAATGTATGTTATACTCGTATAATGGGTTTATTCTGATTGTTGTAATCAGAATAAAGTCAGTCTTGATTATTAATTTTTATTTATAATTTTTTTTAACTAATAAAAGTATATTTAGGCTATATTTAAGAATGCACCGTCATATGTTTGCGCTTGTACAACGGCATATAAATGTCAAATAACTTCAGTGCCGCATATTGATTTTTATTGGTATGTGGCAATTATAAATAACCGTTCAATTGCGTGGTTTTATGATATACCAAGTTTCATAATATGAGCAATAAGACATTTATGTTCAAGTTTGTACGTTAAACATTTGATATTGAATGTTTTTGCATAATAAATTAACGCGCCCCTCGTGCTTCTGCAGAGGTGAATGCATGGAAAAAACATGTACTACTCGCTGTTCACAAATATACACAGAAAGGAAACTAGGGAAAAAACACAAATTCACTGTTGAAAAAAATGTTTCATAAAATAAAAGACACGTACGCTTGTTCGGTTCCATATCCATGCAGTTGTGATACACCCATAGATACCACGACTATTATAACAGCGATGACTTGAAAAGAATGAATTAAGTATTTAATTATAATAAACATAAAACATGGTAATCCGAAGACTTCCCTTGTTTTCTATATCCATTATGTATTCATTTGTATTACTTACGTTTCCTAATATGAGGAAATATATATGTATATAGTAAACTAAATGAAAAATATTGTCAGATTAGATAAAAATTAAAGCATCTCTGGTATATAAAGTATCTTGATAAAGTATATAAGTTGTTATAAAGGCTGCAAGTGTCGGTAACATCTAACGTGCATTGATACTAATCTTAATACATCAGAAAATGAAACCGTCGTGGAATTTATCAGAAATATCCTTGTCGATACCATACTCTGCAAATACGATATTGAGTTTACAGAAATGACCGGTGCATTATACGAAGCAAAAAATTGAATAATGCCGAATATAGTACAAAGATCCTGCGTTCAACGGTTATATAATACTGTAAAAAGGGATATTAAAGCTACATTAAATAAATTTCATAAAAACAGAAATAGCGACATTTCATTAATACATTGGGTTTCATATCGACTCCAGATTTTATTTTGGTGTCAAGACAACCAAAATGAGTTTTATAAGCATAAAAAATGGGCAACCTCATTGTGGCGAAATCAAAAGTACAATTTCTGTTTGCATGAGAAACTCCGCCTTCATATTACCGTACGTCAATGTTAAATCAACAAACATGACTACATGTACGAGGGTTGTTCGGGAAGTTCTGAGAATTTTGTCATATCTCCTATATTTTTTGTTTCTAAGACGTGATATTTTGCAAATACTAAGATTAGCATATCACAGAACTATTCCTTAAAATTGAATAGAATCTCACAACAATAGCCGGAAATAGCAGTAACCATAGCAACACTATAACGCCGCACCGGAGCAGTCCGACTCTAAAGAAAGGTATAACGCGCTACACTAATAATATTTCGTAATTTTGATAACGTAAAAAATGCTCGAAAACGCTGGTCAGCAGCGGAACGTCATGATATCATTTCCTGAAAATAACATAACGTTATTTAAATTCTCAACGGATCAACATTGTTTTAAAGTTGTTGCCCAGGGCCACAGAGTAAACAACATGACGTCGATAGGTGACGTTGAATTGCGAAGCATCGTGAAATTTTGTGTTGCGCTGGAAAAGTCTTCCACAGAAACAATGAAAATGATCAATTCTACAGGAAATACACAGAGCGGAGTCTACCCAGTTAGAGATCAGCCTCTTTGGGTTTGAGATCTTAGAGCACCCTCCTTACAGCCCGGACCTCGCTCCGATGGACTTCCGTGTGTTTCCGGAGCTCAAATCACAGCTGCGTGGAAAACGCTTTGACTCAGCTGACGATCTTATAAAGCATACTCAAGCTATAGTCTGGTCCTTTACCGATAGCTGGTACGTGGAAACATACAATAAGTGGATCAGCCGACACAGGAAATGCATCGAAATTGCAGGTGACTACGTTGAAAAGGTGCAACGCTCGACAGACTTTAACGTCGCATAACGTTGCAAATGACGTCGGCGTGTTCCGGGTGATTGTTATATGGTTATTTACTATTTTTATTTTTTAGTTTCTGTGTGTATGATGATGATATTTTCAGATACTGTACAGTATATATTGAAATAAATGCGTATATATTTATATTTACGCTAACCCGAGTACAACGTGTGCTATAAAACAATTCTCAGAACTTCCCGAACAACCCTCGTATACGCAGCAGTCCTAATTTAACGGTTTATGTCCGTATTGTAACGGATGTTTTCATACAAATTTAATCCTTTTTATGAGATGATTACTTTTTTCTGAACCCCAGGCCTAGTGCACCGTGAAGCTAAAACGGTTAAAGTGTGTTTGCACAAGAAAATCTCATATTTACTGTGTTCCGGATAGCAACTATAACAATGTGACGTAGCGCATACACAAGCTGATTATAGTCTTCATTTGCATGTTAAAATTCGTATACGAACTTTAGTGTTACCGTGGGGTTTTCCGTTTAAAATCCTAATTTATGAACAATATTTGATGAGATTTACAACAATAATATTAAAAAGATTAATGAAACTGTATATTGCTTGTTTTTTTAGGCCGACGGCAATTTTTTTTTCATATTTATTTAATGTAACTTTAAGTATGATGATATCTAGTTGAAGTAAACCGGTAAAATAAATGTAATAATCCAAATAAATGAAGAGTTAGATCGATCTATATAATAAATGAATAAAAACAAATCACTCCATGCTACTTAGGGAATTCCATGTGTATATGCAGTGACGTAGCAGAAAAATGTGTAGCGCTAGCTATGGCGTCGATTGGCTGCTCTGAGGAAGTCCTGTGACGTCACGGGAAACACCTCGATTCGTCCACAACGGCTTCGCCCCAAAAACACAAAAGTCACACTGGCCACCAATTTGTTACCTTCTATAATCGTCGAAGGGTTTTTATAGTTCTCTCTTGTGATTGAGACTGTAAAAACACACAGAGGCAGCAAAATAAATAAATAATCAACACAAAGACAGAAGTTAGGTTTTCACTCTACAACTGTAATTCAAATCTGCAGTGCATTTCATAAATATACAAAACCGTCAAAATCATGAAACAAATGATGAATGAGAATATAAGTAAATTACCTGTAAAACACACAGAGGCAGAAAAATAAATAAATAATCAACACAAAGACAGGAGTTAGGTTTTCACTCTACAACTGTAATTCAAATCTGCCGTGCGCATGCGTGGCGGTAAATCATGAGCGAAAAAATGAGGCCCGTCACCAGTTACTATAGTTAGTGTATGATATATGATGAATGATTTAATGAGGCTATGGGAGTAAATATGAGATGAAGAGTGGATGGACAAGGAAGAATATATTTATAAGAAATGCACTATATATCATATTGGATATAATAATGGTAAAGTATATACATGTATATATAATGACAAATGACCCTGTGACATTTGGAATTCCACAATCAAAAAAAAAACAGTGTTTATTCCTGATAACACCAGAAACTAAATACAGTGAAAAGACACCAGTACTCTTAGGCACAAACATTTTGAATGAATTACTTCAACAATGTAAAGACAACTTTGGAGAAATGTACTTACAAAAGTCAAGTTTACATACGCCTTGGTATCTGACCTTTCGATGTCTTACAATACAACAAAGGGAGTTGAAACGAAACAAAAACAGAATTGCTATCGTACGATCAGCAGAACCGAATTTGATAGTTATTGGACCTAATCAGTCGATAAATGTGAGAGGATATACAGACAAAGAACTGAAATTCCATGATACCTGTGCAATATTACAAGAAACCGAAGATACAAACTTACCAGACTTTGTTGACATTACACCATCAGTGATAAACTACAGTTACAAGAAGAATGATGAAATATTTGTGAACATATCAAACATCACGTGTAGTTCTGTTACAATTTCTCCGAAAGAAATCATTTGTGAAATACAACCTGTAACCATAGACGAATCAATATTTCAGAAGTTGGAAAATGAACACAAATCAAAAATATTAGATGAAATTCATATCGAATCGAAACTGACAGCAGATGAAACAAAACAGATATATGACC